CCGTGGCCGAGGCAAAGCAGCGGGTGTGGGAGAAGTTCGGAGAAGACATGGAGAAGGACTTTCGGGCGCCACCAAAGTTGTTCTGGAAAACTGTCCGACACCTCAGGAGGGGGAAGCAGGGAACCATCCAAGCTGTGTACAATAAGGATGGGACGTTGTTGACCTCAACTGATGGAGTGTTAGGGCGTTGGAAGGAACACTTTGAGGAACTCCTGAACCCGACAACTCCGCCCTCTATGTTAGAGGCAGAGCTGGAGTATGACGGGGGATCAACACCAATCTCCCGGGGGGAGGTCACTGAGGTCGTCAAACAACTCCACAGTTGCAAAGCCCCGGGGGTGGATGAGATCCGCCCGGAAATGCTGAAGGCTCTGGGTGTTGAGGGACGGTCATGGTTGACACGTCTCATCAACGTTGCGTGGAAGTCGGAAACAGTACCGAAGGAGTGGCAGACCGGGGTGGTGGTTCCCCTTTTTAAGAAGGGGGATCAGAGGGTGTGTGCCAATTACAGAGGCATCACACTACTCAGCCTCCCCGGGAAAGTTTACTCTAAGGTACTCGAAAGGAGGGTCAGGCCAATTGTCGAACCTCAGATTGAGGAGGAACAATGCGGATTCCGTCCTGGTCGTGGAACGACGGATCAGCTTTTTACTCTCGCAAGGATCCTGGAGGGGGCCTGGGAGTACGCTTATCCGGTCTACATGTGTTTTGTAGACTTGGAGAAGGCGTATGACCGAGTTCCCAGGGAGTTACTGTGGGAGGTGCTGCGGGAGTATGGGGTGAGGGGGTCTCTACTCAGGGCCATCCAATCTCTGTACTCCCAAAGCGAGAGCTGTGTCCGGGTCCTCGGCAGTAAGTCGGACCCATTTCTGGTGAGGGTTGGCCTCCGCCAGGGCTGCGCTTTGTAACCAATCCTGTTTGTAATATACATGGATCGGATTTCGAGGCGTAGTCATGGGGGAGGGGGTCTGCAGTTCGGTGAACTAAGGATTGCACCACTGCTTTTTGCAGATGATGTGGTTCTAATGGCTTCATCGGTCTGCGACCTTCAGCACTCACTGGATCGGTTTGCAACCGAGTGTGAAGCGGCTGGGATGAGGATCAGCACCTCCAAATCTGAGGCCATGGTTCTCAGCAGGAAACCGATGGACTGTCCACTCCAAGTAGGGAATGAGTCCTTACCCCAAGTGAAGGAGTTCAAGTATCTCGGGGTCTTGTTCTCGAGTGAGGGAACAATGGAGCGTGAGATGGGCCGGAGAATCGGAGCAGCGGGAGCGGTACTGCAGTCGCTTTACCGCACCGTTGTGACGAAAAGGGAGCTGAGCCAGAAGGCAAAGCTCTCTGTCTACCAGGCCATTTTCGTTCCTACCCTCACCTATGGTCATGAAGGATGGGTCATGACCGAAAGAACGAGATCACGGATACAAGCGGCCGAGATGGGTTTTCTCCGCAGGGTGGCTGGTGTCTCCCTTAGGGATAAGGTGAGAAGTTCGGTCATCAGGGAGGGACTCGGAGTTGAGCCGCTCCTCCTTCGCGTCGAAAGGAGCCAGTTGAGGTGGTTTGGGCACCTAGTTAGGATGCCACCTGGGCGCCTCCCTAGGGAGGTGTTCCAGGCACGTCCAGCTGGGAAGAGACCAAGGGGTAGACCTAGGACCAGGTGGAGGGATTATATCTCTTCGCTGGCCTGGGAGCGCCTTGGGATCCCCCAGTCAGAGCTGGTTGATGTCGCCAGGGAAAAGAAAGTTTGGGGTTCTCTGCTGGAACTGCTACCCCCGCGACCCGACCACGGATAAGCGTGAGAAGATGGATGGATGGAACACACACGAACGCGCACATGACCAATGAGGGCACGAGATAAGTTTGTGCACAGATGGAAGGCTGACAGGCAGGTAGGCCATCCAATCATTTTAGCCGGGCTAAAATGATTGGTCGTGCTTTTTACAGCGCTACGGCTTACACAGATGAAAAATGTTTATGTATTTATTGTCAAAGCATTTAATATATTCATTGCTATCGGGATGTTAAGAATATTCCATGGAATATAACAACAAGTGTTTCTCAAACAAAATACATACCCCACCTTTAAATGTCTATTAAATAAGGTTTTTATTACATTTACTGTCATTGATTTATCATCTTATATTTAAATATTTGTTCTTTTCTTTTTTAAATGACACACACCGAAATATTCGGTGTTACTCCATCAGCCAAAGAATCTTGCTCTTAGATCACGACGCTCCACTATTTTCACCAGCAGTGTGTTTATTAGAGCGTTGTGTCTCTGTTGTGTAGCAGTTAGAATTATGGAGAAGGATATTGTAAAGTGAATGGAGCAACACAGCTTAACGTCTACGGAAGCTTCCTCCATGTTGAACTTTCCAGCTCTCCTCTCGAAGGTCAGCTCTGTGAGGAGCAATGGCACACATTTGAATATTACATTTGATGCACGAAAATCACATGTATTTCTTTTGGCCTGAGCAGTTATTGCTGCCGAGCCTTTGGTAGGTGTTTACCATCTTTCAGCTCCTAATTTTGGTTTTCTCCGACACAACTTCACTGCTTGGTTTCAGTCTGGATCCACTCATCAACCTTGTTTCCCGGATCCGGCAGCTTTCTCAGTCAAAGCGCTCTGATAAACCCACTGTGCCCCCTCAGCAGCTAGCAGCACAAAGACTAGCTAGTGATCATCAAAATCAGCTTTATTGCCAAGTAGGTTAACACATATACGAGAAATGTGTCTTGGTCTACATGGTGCATATATAAACACAGTTAAAGAAGAAGAAAAAGCAAGATAACATCTAAAAAATAAAATAAAAACGAAATAAACTATTATACGTCAAAATATAGAAAAGTATTTACACTACATGAAATACAAAAAAACTACGTGCAGTATACTATCGCAAAGTACTTGGAATAATAACATCAAATCAAATATCTGCAGTATAGTTAGGGAAGTGGATGATAGGTATCGTGTGTACAAATATGCAAAGTATTTGGAGGGTTGTGCAGAGCAGGCAATACTTAAATGAAACAAATAAAAACTGGAGCATCAGGATTTGAAGAGCTAGAGAGCTTTACACTGTACATATAAGGATCTCTATTCTAAAACTGACAAATACAATAACAACAATTAAATCCATAGAGCACTTTTTAAAGTTACAGTGCTGTACATTGTTGAAACCTGAACAAAAAATTTCAGGACTGCAGTTACTTGAATTCTGACAAGTACAAAAATGATAAGAAAGCAAAAACATGTATCTAGAAAACTACAGTGTTATAATTAGTCATAGAAACAATGGATCAACATAACACCCAACTTTTGATAACAGCATTACAGAGTAAGAAAAACAAGTAAACAAGCCAGGGTTTTGTGAGAGTTATAAACTAGAATCACCCTTTAAACTTGTTGACCTTGTCTTTATTGTCATAGCGACATCTCCTGTGTGAAACAATTCTTTATCTTCTTATTTTCTTGTCTGTGAAATGTGACTGTTTTTCCTTTTTGTCCCCCCATGCCCTCTCGTCTTATTGTAAAGCGTCCTTTGGTTTCATGAAAGGTGCTATATAAATCCAAGTTCATATACAGTATACATATTACATTTGCATTTAAATGCTAAGGATGGGTTAAGATTTTGCATGGGCCAAATTGCTTTGCTCTACCCACAGAATGTATTGACACATTTTCGGGAATAACAACTAACATTCCCACAATTCTAAGTGTGACTTCCGTCGTATAAGCCTGTGGTATGGTTTGCAGAACAGTTGTCTCCAGTGCCAATATAAACGGCCAACAGTTGTCCCTTTACAAGCCTGGAGCGGAGTGTGTGTGTGTGTGTGTGTGTGTGTGTGTGTGTGTGTGTGTGTGTGTGTGTGTGTGTGTGTGTGTGTGTGTGTGTGTGTGTGTGTGTGTGTGTGTGTGTGTGTGTGTGTGTGTGTGTGTGTGTGTGTGTGTGTGTGTGTGAGAGGTCATGGTTGGAGTTGGGGTATGCTAACATTACTGAAGCAGGTGGGCTTTAGACAGAATCGGTAGGGAACAGTCAGTCAGGACTGTTTTTTGGTACAAGCCACACATGTATTGCAGAAAAAACACACTATCTGTGCTATACTATCTATTTTACAAGAGCAATGTTGATTGTTCTTTTCACTATAGCTCAATGAACAGTTATGGAGCCACACCCAAATAATAGTCATATAGTTAGAGGTCACATATATATGATTTTTTTTGTCAGTAAAATAAATAATTTCCATAATTTTGTAAGCATGTATTACCATTTGCAGATCTTTTTTTTGTGGCAAAGGCATAGGTAAACAGGTTGCACATACTTTATAGTCACATATTAACATACAGGGCTGAGTTCTTTGGTAAATAATAATCTGATCCTCTGAGTGCTTACGCATACAAATTGTAATAGTTAAGTGATTTAATAAATAAAAAGCGGTTTCGTGTGACAACGGGGGATACTCATGTCGGTAGTGGTTACAATTATGCAATTTATTATTGTGAATTCATAAGCATTTGAGCGGCTGATCATATTTCCTTAATTATTTCATGATTCACCTGGATGTTATTAATAATTAATGTCCTAATAAGAATTCATTTCAGTACAATGTTCTGTGTTTTAGTAGCATCTTCTTTTTTCACAATCAGCCTATTACAGTGGGAACTTTTTTTTAGATCTTTATTGTGAAAAGGCATGAACAAACCACATGTCTTCAAAGAAAAAAATCTAATAGGGAAGGTGCATACAGAAGACAAGAATAAACATAACAAAAATTACAAGACATTAAAGTAATAAAGTATACAACAAAGGGCTAGGGCTTTTTGAATACATCTTATATTTCAATTGTGCTTAAAAGTGAAATTGCAATTATTATTATTTCATTAATTTAAGGGCTAAACGCACAGTGGGCATTTAACACATGGGTTTGACAGGAGAATCAAACAGTGTTCTCGCGAGAGTTGTTTGTACTATGTTTACTAGCAGTATTTATTAGCAGCAGTGTCCCTCTATCGTCACTGTTCTACCGAGCGAGTGTTCAGTAACCGCGCTGCTCGGAGGAGGCATTACCGACATTTCGTCTTTGACAGCCGGCTGGAGACACCTCTGCTTCAGGAAACATTTTAACTCGCCCACAAACCACAGTCCGGTGTCGCTGTTTTGCTCTCCTATCATACTGAGAAGAGGAAGAAAGAAAAACAAAGTCATCGGCTCGGGTTTGCTCCGCAGCGGTAGCCAGGTAAGACAGAACCGAAACAGTAGTACCGAGCTTTTAATGAATATCAGCTGTCGGTCTTGTATTAGCTTTCATCTATAACCCAGCGCAAGCTGCCAACCCATGTAGCTCGTGCAGTTTTAACAAGATTTACCTCGTGCACGACTGATGCGATGCCCTTTAATCTTTGCCTCATCAACGGTAGCCATGGTTACTCACAATTTCTCCAGAACCAGTACCAGGTCAGACTATGTACGTGCGTTTCTCCAACACCAAATCCCGTATAATAGTTGTGCAATTTAAGGTTCAATTGTTTATTATTAAAACTACATAGCTTTTGAAATATGTTTTGGTATCAAGCCTGAATCAAAAGGCGTAGTTTGTCTTATCGGCATGTAGATATGCTCTGAAAAATAATTAGTTCGAGTGAAATTGTATTGTAACTTGCTCAATATACAGTATAGGGTACTGCCACAAGCGTGTAGGAATAGCATATTACACACATACATACACACACAGGCATATGTTTTCCGACAAAGAGACATTACATTGTTACGAGAATACATTTAATTGTGCGACATACTGTTTTCTCTGTGGGGGGTGATTAACACGGCAGGATATGTTCTAGCTGGAGAGACTGTTCGGGCAATCGATGTGTGACGTGCCTCAATGGCTAGACGCATGTGGCCGCTGTGTGTTGTTGGTGTCTTCTTACGTCCACTTTATCTGTCTCTATGTCTCTCTCACATACATGAAGACATACAGCAGGCTTTTAAATGTGCATGTTCTGGTTTGCAGAGGGCGACGATTGATTATTTCCTGCAAAAGTGTGCATGCTCTTTGTGGTTACATGCTTTATTCACAGCAGATTATTATACTGAGGCCTTTCTAATATTTCTAACAATATCTCCAAATGGTTCTTATTGTCTAACTCAGCATCTTTACCCAGTCGCAGGCATTATTGAGCTTTTATTACATGATATTCTAACTAGTGGTAATATTGTTGCTGACAGGGCATTTTTGTCAATTGTAATTTGGGTAATGTCTATTTTTGTATCTCTAATATTGTATGCATGCCTCTTAATTCATATCTTGCTCTTTTTGGCTCTGCTGTAACTCAGTGGGACGAATACAGATATTCTGATTTGTATGCCAGCCTGTAGTAGGATGCAGTTAAATATCTAAATAATTGTGTTCTTTCAAATAGCTTATTCTGTTTAATGTCTCCAGTATGTCTGTCTGATGGCAGATCAGATCTCCACCGGTGTTGCACATTGCATAACAGTCAGGGCTTTCATGGAGCTGCATGTTGGCTGAACCCAGTGGATAGATAAGCTGAAGAGAAGATGATATGTTAGAGTCCCTGTTTGTGTGGTTAAAACAAAGTGGCCCTTCTCTCCTCCCTCTCCGCTGCTGCACTTCGCTATAGCCTGAATTTATTGCCTCTGTAAGTCATAACAGTTAATGCAGTCTTGGCAGCGGGCAGTGCACATTCCCTATCTGCATTCTCAGTGGAACGACTGCCAAAGTGTAATCGATGCTGCAGGTTTTACTCATTTATTAAAAGTTGTATTTGCATGCAATTTCTGTAGGAGGGATACTTTCTTTAAGTGAATTCTGACTCTGCATTTTTGCTCTCTCTAGGGAGTAGTCCCACTTAGTGGTTCTGTTTAGTTTCACAAGCTTAGATGATTAAATGATATGGCTGGTGTCATTTTAGAGATGTACTTATTTGGACACTTGGACCCATACGCATTGGATCCTGTAGAAGGCTCAGAAATGTAGCAAAACATACACCAATTGTCAGCTCAAATGGGTGCATTTATTGAGGACTATTTAACCTTTGGTGCCCTAGTGCGTATTCCTTACAGCTGGACAGTGTATGTGGTCCATCTGTCAATATGTATACTATTTTATGGAGCATATTAAAATACAGACTTTATCAGCTTGGTTGCTTTTGGAAAGGGTTTACAAATCTTGAATCTATGGAGATGTAACCGGTGTGGTTAAGCGGTCTCTGCGTTGTGTTGATAATGGACGAGACCCGAGCCAGAGTAAAGTTGAGACGATCTCTGACAACAGATAAAGGGAGGAGGAAACGTGAGGGACACAATATATAGGGGGGAAAGTCCTCACAACAATAAACTCCTGAGCACAGCGACCACACTTCAGAGGTTCCGCCCACTGATCTCCGACCTTGCCAGGTATTTAACATTCAATAAAACGAAGAACACAGAATAAAATAATATAAAACACAGAATTTGTGTGATTATACAAAATTAAGTTAAATAAACCCCACTGCATATTTGCATCTGTTACAGAGACACAAACAGATATACCCCACTCCAGTAACAGCACCAATGCATTTGATAATTTATTGTATTTTCATCATATATATGACATATTGGATTCTGTTGCCTATTTTGCAATGTGATATGGCTCTATGCTTGAACACGATGTCCAGTTAGAGTCAACATTTAGCTCACTGGATGATTGTATCTAATATTGATAAGCGTAATCACATAATATCAAAGTCTAATAAAAACAGTCTTGCACATTTAAGCTGATACCATGTAAAAACATAGTATTAGCAATTCACAGTTTACAAAGTACACTGTGCTACTGCAGGGGCAGCTTGACTTGTAACCTGCGCAGCCTGTGGGTGGGTTAAGTGTCAGGACGGAAAGCAGAGAACAGTTTCATGTTGGAGTGGGCAGAAAAAAGACTGCATGGGCGATTCTCCATATTAACATTCTGCCACATATGGAGCCAGACGGCCCCTCAGTCATAAAGGATGTTACATTTCTGCTGTCAACCAGCAATGCCTGTAATGATGTCAATTCAGGCCACAGACCAAAAGAGTTCGATAACAATAAAAACTCTACAATTCCAGACATATGCTACAGTTTGCTTATGATGAAAAATACAATATTTAGTGTAATCTTACATGACATGTCACTTGTTAGACGCTTTTATCCAAAGCGACTTACATACTCAACACTGTGGGCAATCCCACAGGAGCAATTTGGGGTGAAGTGTCTCAGGGACACAACGACATGCTGACTGCAGTGGGGTTTGAACCTGTGACCCCCTGATACCAACACCAACGCACAACCCACTGCACCACACGCCTCCCTTACAAAACAAAATATCACACCACAATAGCCTTCTGTTTCTATACTTCAAGTCACTTAAGAATCAAAATACTGTACAAAATAAGGGAATCTACGTTTCCACCTCCTTCTGACTCCTGAAACCAGAGGGCTACATGTCTGTGCACTGCATCTGATGTGTATTTACAGTGTATTGGTAGTGGCAGCACTGATGAATTGCCTAATCAATAAGGGAAGTAGTTGGCTTAGCTGTCATCGTTTTTGCTAATGGGTCTCCTAAATGAATCAAAGATGATAAAGCTGGATGGATTCCAAGGAAAGGGAACAACTCGACTTTAGGCCTCTTCTGTTTACTTTTCCCTTGCACACAACAACCATTTTGGTTTAAGAAAAGTTTTCAAGAGGGTTATTAATAATCTCTGTGTTAAAGATCAGTTTGAAAGCTTTTTTTGGCTGGGTTATGGGACAATACATTTTGTCAAAAGATATATGAGTACAGTTGACCCCCATCGTGTCGCCCTTTTATGCATCAGGTTTTATCCTGAAGAATACATAATAAGAAAGTCCATATTGGACTCTGATTCTCTTTCCCATCAAAGGTCAGCACTGTGTCCGTGTCCAAGTACCGTGAAAACAACCCTTGACATTTAGAAGGATAGGATTATTCTCTGCAACTACATGAAAACAGAGTTCAGGATATGGATATGAAGCTTCTGTTCAGTTCGGTTTGATGGTTTCAGTCTCGGACAGTGTTCCCACAGCTCCCAGTGTAACATGTGCAATATAGTGCTCTCAAAAACCAAAATGGAAACATTATGTAGTCAATTGTAGAGTGTTTATTGTCTGGGTAAGTAAATTAGGTTTCAGACACGCAACGAAAAACGGAAACTTTGATTTTAATTCAATCTATTATGTCAACAGATTTAGTTGAGAGCAATACTTTTAAGTGACAAATATCAGGTTCAACTTCATATTATTGCTTTCAACAAAGCTTAAACAGTTATGTGAAATTTGTTGACATAATACATTTAATTAATGTCAACCTTTCAGTTTTTTAGTGCAGCCTTGAGGTTATTTCCGACTTTCAGACATTTTGAGTTGTTCTGATGCAGTTAAGCACTACTCAATATCTCCCTGTATGAGTGTTTATTTCTTTTTATTGCTGTTCGTGGGAAACATAAGATGGCCGTACTGCAAAATGTAAAATTCCAGTGATTTCCCCCCCCTGCTGTCTGTCTGTCACAGAGGAGCTGAAACGCTTCACTGGTTTGATGTACTGTATATATTACACTGTGTTACAGCTCGTTCTCACTCTGCAAGCCTTTCTCTACATATCTGTTGGGATAAGCTACTCTGACTTTACTAACAACTTACAGTGCCTTACTTTGGACTCAAAGCAGTAAAGCCAATCATTGGGAATAATCATAGCACAAACATACATTTCCTTTCAAGGCATTACTTTAAATGATGATATTGAAACATTGTAATATAGGGAAGTTACTGGAAACTGGAAACGAGCTAAGCGCCTTAATTGAATAGAAGACTAATTGGTCATTTTGTGCAATACTATTGACATTTGCCAAAGAATGCAACTTAAAGTTGTGAAATGTAGAATTGTACCTATAGCGCTGCAATTTAACATTATTTGCATCTATCAATATTTTTTTGAAATAACTGTTCTACTTCTAACATAGACAGTGAAACCCAGTGTATAGAGCCTAAACTGCTTCCTGCACCATCCAGTCTTTCCTCTGTCTCTGTACTGAAGAGTGGCACAGTCACTAATCCCCTGAGCCTTTCAACTCTCCCATTCTGTTGTTGGAGCTTATTTCATCTTTCAAGGTGATTTCAATGTTGTTTCTATATTTAGAATACTGTAAAGTTGCAGGTGTCTGGATATATTTAAGAAAA